CAGGCTGCTCTGCGGTCAGGCGCCACTGCCCGCCGTGACCAGGGGCGCAGAGGAGGAGAGGGGTGAGAGATGGGATTTGTTCTAGGCCATGGCTGCCCTCAGAGCCACGCTAGCTTAGCCGTGGTCTCAGGAACACGCGTGTCTGTGCCCGGCCCGTGCAGCAGCGCGGTCACAGGAACACGCGTGTCTGTGCCCGGCCCGTGCAGCAGCGCGGCCACAGGAACACGCGTGTCTGTGCCCGGCCCGTGCAGCAGCGCGGCCACAGGAACACGCGTGTCTGTGCCCGGCCCGTGCAGCAGCGCGGTCACAGGAACACGCGTGTCTGTGCCCGGCCCGTGCAGCAGCGCGGTCACAGGAACACGCGTGTCTGTTGCCCGGCCCGTCCACAGGAACACGCGTGTCTGTGCCCGGCCCGTGCAGCAGCGCGGCCACAGGAACACGCGTGTCTGTGCCCGGCCCGTGCAGCAGCGCGGCCACAGGAACACGCGTGTCTGTGCCCGGCCCGTGCAGCAGCGCGGCCACAGGAACACGCGTGTCTGTGCCCGGCCCGTGCAGCAGCGCGGCCACAGGAACACGCGTGTCTGTGGCCCGGCCCGTGCAGCAGCGCGGCCACAGGAACACGCGTGTCTGTGCCCGGCCCGTGCAGCAGCGCGGCCACAGGAACACGCGTGTCTGTGCCCGGCCCGTGCAGCAGCGCGGCCACAGGAACACGCGTGTCTTTGCCCGGCCCGTGCAGCAGCGCGGTCACAGGAACACGCGTGTCTGTGCCCGGCCCGTGCAGCAGCGCGGTCACAGGAACACGCGTGTCTGTGCCCGGCCCGTGCAGCAGCGCGGCCACAGGAAACACGCGTGTCTGTGCCCGGCCCGTGCAGCAGCGCGGCCACAGGAACACGCGTGTCTGTGCCCGGCCCGTGCAGCAGCGCGGCCACAGGAACACGCGTGTCTGTGCCCGGCCCGTGCAGCAGCGCGGTCACAGGAACACGTGTGTCTGTGCCCGGCCCGTGCAGCAGCGCGGTCACAGGAACACGCGTGTCTGTGCCCGGCCCGTGCAGCAGAGGGACAGGCTGGGCGTGTGGCTGTTCACAGGCCGGGCACTGGGGGGGTCCGGGCCCTCGGTGCGGGTGGTGTGCGTGCGGCAGGCGCTTCCCGGCCCACACCGCTATCTGTGCTGGAGGAGGTGGTGAGAGGCTGCTGAGAGGTGGGGAGAGGTGGTGACACTGAGAGGAGGGCACCGCCAGGGCTCGGTGTGGCAGGAGGAGGCTTTGCCGTGTGCACGTGCATCTGGTGCACACGTGTCAGTGTGTGTCCAATGTCTCTGGCGCCTCTGTGGGGACCGGTGTGAGGATGTGGCGGCTGGTGTGTGCGAGGCCAGGCCCAGAGGTGTGTGCTGCAGACGTGGCCCAGGTGGCGCCCGTGTTCTCTCCAGACCGGGCACGTGAGGCCCAGAGCGCAGGACTGGCCCTGTGCCCAGGCCTCCTCACCGCCTGCGGGCCTGGAGCCCGCCCGGGCGGCTGTGGGGGCCTGGGGGGCGGTCTGTGGGGGCCTGGAGCCCGCCCGGGCGGCTGTGGGGGCCTGGGGGGCGGTCTGTGGGGCGGTCTGTGGGGGCCTGGGGGGCGGCCTGTGGGGGCCTGTGGGGCGGCTGTGGGGCGGTCTTTGGGGGCCTGGGGGGCGGTCTGTGGAGCGGTCTGTGGGGTCCTGGGGGGCGGTCTGTGGGGTGGTCTGTGGGGGCCTGGGGGGCGGTCTGTGAGGGGCCGTGGGGGGCCGTGGGGGGCCGTGGGGGCCGTGGGGCGGCCGTGGGGGCCGTGGGGCGGCCATGGGGCGGCCGTGGGGGCCGTGGGGGCCGTGGGGCCCGTGGGGCGGCCGGAGCACTCAGCTGCCCGGCGCTGCGAGTGCCGAGGGCAGTGTGAATCCTGTGACTCAGTGCGTGTCCTCGGGGCGAGGGGAGGGCAGGGCAGGAAGCCACTCCCGGTGCCCAGGCTGGGGGCGGCTGGCCAGGCCCCACTCCTGCCCCGGAGCCCCTGGCTTCCATTCCTCTCCTCGGAGGCGGTGGGCACTGGCAGGTAGAGGCACCTGCCTGTCAGCACTCCCCGTTTCCCCGGTTTCCCTCTCGCCTAGCTCGGGGGGCCATCCTGACCGTGCGGCAGTGCCTGTCCAGGTGCTCCCGGGCTCCCAGCCTCCTGCCCACGGCCCCGTGCCTCCCTGCCCCCTGTCCACTGTCCCCAGGCCGCCCTGTCCACTGTCCACTGTCCCCGGGCCTCCCTGCCCCCTGTCCATTGTCCCCGGGCCTCCCTGCCCCCTGTCCATTGTCCCCGGGCCTCCCTGCCTCCTCCCACTGTCCCCGGGCTGCCCACTGTCCCCGGGCCTCCCTGCCTCCTGCCCACGGCCCCGGGCCTCCCTGCCCCCTGTCCACTGTCCCCGGGCCTCCCTGCCCCCTGTCCACTGTCCCCGGGCCTCCCTGCCCCCTGCCCACTGTCCCCGGGCCTCCCTGCCTCCTGCCCACGGCCCCGCCTTTCCGGTGGCCTCGAGTGAGGGGAACCCTCATCCTCCGGCTCCTGGCTGTTGTAAGCTCTGTCTGAGCCGCAGCTTCCCCGGAGGGGTCCTCCTGGCGGCAGGCCGACGGCGCTCCTGTCCTGGGCTCCCGGCCTCCGCTGTCCGGGGCCGGACGTGTGCTGTGCGGTGGGAGGAACTCAGCTGGCGGCTGCGGGCTCCTGGGCCAGCTGGGGGGAGGGGGCAGCTCCCAGCACAGGCCGCGCTGGGCCTGTCAGGGCTGTGCCCGGGACTGCGACCCCTCGGACCCCTCGGACCCCGGCCTGGGGCTGCGACCCCTCCGGGCCCCTCGGACCCCGGCCTGGGGCTGCGACCCCTCCGGGCCCCTCGGACCCCGGCCTGGGGCTGCGACCCCTCCGGGCCCCTCGGACCCCAGCCTGGGGCTGCGACCCCTCCAGACCCCTCGGACCCCGGCCTGGGGCTGCGACCCCTCCAGACCCCTCGGACCCCGGCCTGGGGCTGCGACCCCTCGGACCCCGGACCCCGGCCTGGGGCTGCGACCCCTCGGCCCGGGGCTGCGACCCCTCGGACCCCGGACCCCGGCCTGGGGCTGCGACCCCTCCGGGCCCCTCGGACCCCGGCCTGGGGCTGCGACCCCTTGGACCCCGGACCCCGGCCTGGGGCTGCGACCCCTCGGACCCCGGACCCCGGCCTGGGGCTGCGACCCCTCGGACCCCGGACCCCGGCCTGGGGCTGCGACCCCTCGGAACCCGGACCCCGGCCTGGGGCTGCGACCCCTCCAGACCCCTCGGACCCCGGCCTGGGGCTGCGACCCCTCCGGGCCCCTCGGACCCCGGCCTGGGGCTGCGACCCCTCGGACCTCGGACCCCGGCCTGGGGCTGCGACCCCTCGGACCTCGGACCCCGGCCTGGGGCTGCGACCCCTCGGACCCCTCCGGTCCCCGGCCTGGGGCTGCGACCCCTCGGACCCCTCGGACCCCGGCCTGGGGCTGCGACCCCTCGGGCCCCTCGGACCCCGGCCTGGGGCTGCGACCCCTCCAGACCCCTCGGACCCCGGCCTGGGGCTGCGGTGGATGGAGCTGGGGCTCGGGTCCCGTGCGGCCCAGCGTGCCCTCTGCCCATTGAGCTCGGCTGCAGCCTCTCCTGAGCGTCAGTGTTGCTCCCGCCCCTGAGGGCGGGGCCAGGGCCGTGGGCGGCAGTCTGGGGATGGCGGCAGTCTGGGGATGGGGGCGGTCTGGGGATGGGGGCGGTCTGGGGATGGGGGCAGTCTGGGGATGGGGGCAGTCTGGGGATGGGGGCGGTCTGGGGATGGGGGCGGTCTGGGGATGGGGGCAGTCTGGGGATGGGGGCAGTCTGGCTTCCCTCTTGTTGCAGACCCTCCCCACCTCTGCCTCCACTTCCCGCCCTGCTCCCAGCTCTTCTTTCTCAGCTCTCCTCCCTGCCCCCTTCCACACCTCTGTTTGGTGCCCTTCTCTCCTGCTCTTCCCTCCCCCTCCCTGCTCTTCCCCCTCCTCTCTCCTGGAGGGGGTCGGGGTGGGGAGGGGGTCGGGGTGGGGAGGATGGGGGGGTCGGGTGGGGGGGTCGAGGCGGGAGGGGGGTGTCGGGCGGGGGGGGGTCGGGTGGGGGGGTCGAGGCGGGGGTGGGGGAGAGGAGGGGGTGGGGTGGGGGGGGTCGGGGGAAGAGGGAAGTCTAGGAGAACCTGATGGGCCTGCCCTTCTGGCTTCCTCTCAGGCTCCTCTCCTGGCCGGTCTCGCTCTCTGCCTTGACTCACCTTTGCCCTCCACCTCCTCCCAGCATGTGGCCGTGTGTGTGTGTGTGTGTGTGTGTGTGTGTGGCTGTGTGTGTGTGTGTGTGTGGCTGCGTGTGTGTGTGTGTGTGTGTGTGGCTGTGTGTGTGTGTGTGGCTGTGTGTGTGTGGCCGTGTGTGTGTGTGGCTGTGTGTGTGGCTGCGTGTGTGTGTGTGTGTGTGTGGCTGTGTGTGTGTGTGTGGCCGTGTGTGTGTGTGGCTGTGTGTGTGTGTGTGTGTGTGTGCGCGCATACCTGCTGGGCTGTGGAGGTGGAGCAGGAGCCTGGGGTGGGTCATATTTGAAAACATACTCAGATAGGGAGCTGACGGCTAGGGACCCAGAGCCTGGCCCTGGCACCTTTCCTCCCTTCCTCCTGGCGGTGGGCCCAGCGCAGGGACGGAGTGCAGGGGGGGCGCTGTGGGGCGGGCACCCAGGTGTATGTGAGGTCTGCAGTGAGGGGCACCTGTTCCGTAGCCTGTCTTCGAAGCCCCGTCCTCCGGCGCAGGCCCCGGCTGGCCTGTCCCAGTCCTCCTGTGGTGACGGCAGGCCTGGAAGGGGGTGGATCGGAGCAGCCAGGAGGCCTGGTGGTCCCACGCCTGGGCTGGTGGCACCAGCCCGGCCTCCGGGACCCTGGCTGGGTGTTGCTAAGGGCACTCTGCTTGGGCTGGTCTCATCTCAGGGGCACTCTCCCCCCTCTGCCTCGGCAGGTCCTCCAGAAACTGGGCAAGGCCGATGAGACGAAGGACGAGCAGTTCGAACAGTGTGTCCAGAACTTCAACAAGCAGCTGGTGAGTAGGGCAGCCGGGCCTGGGGGCCGGTGAGTGGGGCGGCCGGGCCTGGGGGCTGGTGAGTGGGGCGGCCGGGCCTGGGGGCTGGGGGAATGGCCTGTGGCTGTGGGTGGAACTGTCAGGAGCTGGTTTGTGGAGAGGAGTGCAGAGGAGGGGTCAGCAGGTCTTGGGAGATTGCCTAGAGGAGGGAGTGCGGGCACAGGGGATGGGCGAGTTGGAGGGACCCGGCCTCTCTACTCCTTGTCATGTCTGAGGTCTCAGAAGCACCAAAGGCACCACCAGTCCTACAGTTGGAATGGAAGCCAGGGGAAAGCCATTTTCCTCCTGAGAACTGACAGCCATGGCCCCGGAGCCTGCAGGAAGAGAGAGAGAGAAGGAAGGGGAGGGAGAGGGCGGAGGCAGAAGAGTAGGAAGAAGGGGATGGAGAGAGGGAGGGGGAGGGAGAGGAAAAGAGGGAGGGAATGGGGACGGAAAGGGGAGAGGGGAAGGCTGGGAGCCCAGGAAGATGGCAGAGGAGCTCAGCTGACTTTCAGGCAGAGCGTGGAGTCCCATGGCTGCCTGACTGCTAGGCCATCAGTAGGGGGTGTGTCAGTAGGGGGTGTGTCAGTAGGAGGTGTGCCAGGCCTGGTGTGTCAGTAGGAGGTGTGTCAGTGGGTGTGTCAGGATATATGTCAGTAGGGGCTGTGTCAAGGCCTGGTGTCTTAAGTAGGAGGTGTGTCAGTAGGGGGTGTATTAGTAGGTGTGTCAGTAGGAGGTGTGTCAGTAGGTATGTCAGTAGGTGTGTCAGTAGATGTGTCAGTAGGTGTGTCAGTAGGGGGTGTGTCAGTGGGTGTGTCAGGATGTATGTCAGTAGGGGCTGTGTCAAGGCCTGGTGTCTAAGTAGGAGGTGTGTCAGTAGGGGGTGTATCAGTAGGTGTGTCAGTAGGGGGTGTGTCAGTAGGGGGTGTGTCAATAGGAGGTGTGTCAGGGCCTGGTGTGTCAGTGGGTGTGTCAGTAGGATGTGTGTCAGTAGGAGCTGTGTCAGGGCCTGGTGTGTCAGTAGGTGTGTCAGTAGGAGGTGTGTCAGTAGGAGGGTCAGTAGGGGGTGTGTCAGGGCCTGGTGTGTCAGTGGGTGTGTCAGTAGGAGGTGTGTCAGTAGGGGCTGTGTCAGGGCCTGGTGTCTAAGTAGGAGGTGTGTCAATAGGGGGTGTCTCAGTAGGAGATGTGTCAGTAGGAGGTTTGTCAGTAGGGAGTGTGTCAGTAGGAGGTGTGTCAGTAGGAGGTGTGTCAGTAGGTGTGTCAGTAGGGGGTGTGTCAGGGCCTGGTGTGTCAGTGGGTGTGTCAGTAGGAGGTGTGTCAGTAGGGGCTGTGTCAGGGCCTGGTGTCTAAGTAGGAGGTATGTCAGTAGGAGGTGTGTCAGGGGTGTGTCAGGGCCTGGTGTGTAAGTAAGAGATGTGTCAGTAGGATGTGTGTCAGTAGGGGGTGTGTCAGGGGTGTGTCAGGGCCTGGTGTGTAAGTAGATGTGTCAGTAGGATGTGTGTCAGTAGGGGGTGTGTCAGTAGGTGTGTCAGTAGGAGGTATGTCAGTAGGTGTGTTAATAGGGGGTGTGTCAGTAGGGGGTATGTCAGTAGGTGTGTCAGTAGGGGGTGTGTCTTGGCCTGGTGTGTCAGTAGGATGTGTGTCAGTAGGGGCTGTGTCTGGGCCAGGTGTCTAAGTAGGAGGTGTGTCAGTAGAGGGTGTGTCAGTAGGAGGTGTGTCAGTAGGTGTGTTAATAGGGTGTGTGTCAGTAGGGGGTATATCAGTAGGTGTGTCAGTAGGGGGTGTGTCAGTAGGTGTGTCAGTAGGGGGTGTGTCAGAAAGTGTATCAGTAGGGGGTGTGTCTTGGCCTGGTGTGTCAGTGGGTGTGTCAGTAGGATGTGTGTCAGGATGTGTGTCAGTAGGGGCTGTGTCAGGGCCTGGTGTGTCAGTGGGTGTGTCAGTAGGAGGTGTGTCAGTAGGATGTGTCAGTAGGGGCTGTGTCAGGGCCAGGTGTCTAAGTAGGAGGTGTGTCAGTAGGAGGTGTGTCAGTAGGAGGTGTGTCAGTAGGATGTGTCAGTAGGGAGTGTGTCAGGAGGTGTGTCAGTAGGAGGTGTGTCAGGAGGTGTGTCAGTAGGGAGTGTGTCAGTAGGAGGTTTGTCAGTAGGATGTGTGTCAGTAGGGGCTGTGTCAGGGCCAGGTGTCTAAGTAGGAGGTGTGTCAGTAGGAGGTGTGTCAGTAGGAGGTGTGTCAGTAGGAGGTGTGTCAGTAGGATGTGTCAGTAGGGAGTGTGTCAGTAGGAGGTTTGTCAGTAGGATGTGTCAGTAGGGAGTGTGTCAGGAGGTGTGTCAGTAGGGAGTGTGTCAGGAGGTGTGTCAGTAGGGAGTGTGTCAGTAGGAGGTTTGTCAGTAGGATGTGTGTCAGTAGGGGCTGTGTCAGGGCCTGGTGTGTCAGTGGGTGTGTCAGTAGGAGGTGTGTCAGTAGGATGTGTCAGTAGGGGCTGTGTCAGGGCCAGGTGTCTAAGTAGGAGTGTGTCAGGGCCTGGTGGGCGCAGGGCAGGGGCCTTGGTGGCCCTGGCGGAGCCCACGCCCCGGGCCTCGCTGTTCTTCCGTGAACAGACGTGGACAGAAGCCCGGGCAGCTCCGCCCTGGCTCCGCATGGGGCTGCTCTCCCTGCAGGAGTTGCTCCTAGAGGGCTGCCGCGGCCGCTGCTGTGCCTCTTCACAGCCACGGCCTTCCGCCTCTTGGTCTTTAATTAAAAATAAAATACGTCTTTATTGATTCAGAGAGGGAGGACGAGGAGGGGGAGAGAAAAGCAGTGATGAGAACCATGGGTTGGCCGCCTCCTGCACGCCCCACACTGGGATGGAGCCCACAGCCCGGGCCTGTGCCCTGATCAGAATCGAATCGTGACCTCCTGGTCATGGGCGAACGCTCTGTCTGGAAGCACGCCGGCTGGGCTTGCCCTGCGTCTGTGTGATGGCTGCTAACATCCTGTGTTTTATGGAGGAGGCCCTGAGGCTCAGAGAGAGATGGGCTCCATGGCCACGGGGCTGACGGGAGCTTGGGGTTCTAAGGCAGGATCCCAGGTCCGCAGGGCAGCGGGCTGGCCTGGAGGGGAGTGTTGGGGCAGCTGGCCGGTGACTGGGCTGGGGGCTGGGGGCTGCGGGCTGTGGGCTGTGGGCTGGGGCTGTGGGCAGGGGACGGGCTGGGGCGGGGGGCGGGGAGCTGGGGGCTGGGTCTGGGGGCTGGGGGCTGGGGCTGTGGGCTTGGGCTGAGGCTGGGCCTGCGGGCTAGGGGCTGGGGGCTGGAGGCTGGAGGCTGGGGGCTGGGGGCTGGGGCTGCCGGCTGGGGGCTGGGGGCTGGGGGTGGGGCTGGGGGCTGGAGGCTGGGGGCGGGGGCCTGGGGGCTAGGGCTGCCCCTGAGCAGGCGGGCGTTTGGCAGAAGGTGAGGCGGGTACCCTGGGAAAGGAGGGTGCTGTGGCCTGGCCCGGGGCTGGGACAGGAGGGCTGCCCTCCCATTTGTTGCTCAGAGTCCCGGCTCGGGTCCCTGGCTCCGAGGGGCCAGGCAGGAAGACCTGACGGGCCGGCAGGGAGCTGGGCTGGGGGCACGTGCACCGGCCACTTAAGCTGGCCTCCTCCCGCCCTCGGGTGGGTGGGGACTGGCTTTTCAGGGGCCAAAGGTGGGAGCTGGGGGGTCAAGCTTGAGTCCTCCCACCAGGGGTAACCTCCCTGGGGGCTTAGGCGACCAGGCCGTTGTGGATCTAACAGGTGTGGGGTGACTGAGCCGGGGTGTGGGGCACCATACTGGAGGGGTGAGGTCAGCGGCTCTGGCCGGCAGGGCCTGGGGGAGGGGGCAGGCGGCTGGGCTGGCGGTGGTGTCTGCCCGTTCCCTGTGAGCATGGCGCAGGCCGAGGCTGGTCCCAGCGCGCCTAGGAGGGGGTCCTGGGAGCGGGTGCAGTCACCTGCGTCACTGTTCTCACGTCCCCTGCCCTCCCTGCTCGAGTCCTGGAGGCCTCCTGTTCCTCCCCCCACGCCCATGAACCTGCTCAGGCAGCCCCGAAGACCCTGCAGCCCAGGCCTCGTCACTGCTGTGTGCCCTTCCCGCCCAGGCCCACCAGCTCTGCTCCAGGCGGCACCCCTCTGCACTGGTGTGGAGTGGCGAGAGGCCGCTGGAGCCGGGGGGGCCTGTGCAGGAGTGGCCCCTGCCCGGGCCCCTGGGAAGAGAGGGGCTCCGTCCTCAGCGGAGACAGGGTGCTGGCCGTGCAGCTGCACCGGGCGCGGGTCCTGGGCTGTGGGGCTGGGGAGCAGGCCCGGCAGTGGGTCCAGAACTCCGTCCTCCCGCTGTTCCTCTGGAGCGTCAGAGCTCGGGAACTGCAGAGACTCCCCAGGCGCAGGGGAGGAGCCGTGTGGAAGGAGCTCACAGATCCGTGCTGACGGGCCCTGCCCTGCTCGGAAGCAGCTCGGCAGGGCGGGCTGCCTGGCCGGAGGCCGGCTGCGATGGCTGAGGGGGCCCGGCTGCAGCTGCACTGGGCGGCCCCGCACAGCTGTGCCCGCGCCCGCTCACAGCGTGGCCTTGTGTGGGAGGCACCAGGGCCTGGTACATCCTGGTACATCCCAGGCAAGTGCAGCACCTGGGCCATGGCCACCCCTCCCTGGGCAGAGTCGCGGTCGCTGGGCTGTTGCAGGGAGTGAGGAGTGGAGGCCTGGCTGGGAGAAGCTGGGTTTGGGGGGACCCAGCGGGTCAGGCCCAGCATGATGGTAGTTTCGCTCCTGGCCCACTCCCCTGACCCTTCCTCTGACTCCTACCCTCCTCTCAGCTGGCCATGTCCGAGGCCACCCCTTCTGGAGCCTCTTCTCCCCAGGCTGCCCTCCATCCTGGCACAACGCGGTGGGAGCTGCTGGTCTTGGGCACCATCTGAGCTTTTAGAACAAGGTGCCCCGCCCTCGCCCACGTGTCTGTACACTGGCACCGGTCCATGGTTGTCTGTGGGCAAGCCTGCCGCGCAGCAGTTCCACCATACACGCGTGTGGGCCGTGTGCATGTCGCCGGCCATGCCCCAGTGTCCTGTCCAGGACGTGTGTCTTCGGGACGCCCTTACAGGGCTGAGCACTGCCAACTCGGGATGCGCCCCCTCAGGCCACAGCCGGGGGAGCCGAGAGCGCCCGGCCGCTCGGTGCTGTTGGTGCCGGAGGCGCGGCCGCCGTGCTGGGCTGAGCTGGGGCCGGCCCGGCCAGGGCGTTGGCGCGCCCCTCTTCTCTCGCCTGCCGTGTCCAGACGAGGACGGCCTTCACTGGTCTGCGGGTGCACATGCAGGAAGGGGGGGTACAGGCGTGGCCCGCCCTCACCTTGTTCACGTCTTTCCTTTGCAGAATGAGGGCACCCGGCTGCAGAAGGACCTCCGGACCTACCTGGCCTCAGTTAAAGGTAAGGCGCAGACAGGCCTGGGGGGCTGGACTTCACAGATGCGGGCGGGGCCTTCCCACGTGGTGGCGTGTAAAGAGCTGGGAAGGCGTCAGGCCTGTGGGCAAAGGGCAGGGACTGCTGTGGAGGCCCACACACCTCCCGGGCCCGGGGACCCGCCATCCGGGCCCCCGTGGCACTGGCTGCAGCATGGCCCTTCTGCCCCCAGCCATGCATGAGGCCTCCAAGAAGCTGAACGAGTGTCTGCAGGAGGTGTATGAGCCCGACTGGCCCGGCAGGGACGAAGCAAGCAAGATTGCCGAGGTGAGGCGGGGCAGGTGGCTCGGGCCTCCCATGGGGCCTTGCTGGCCTCTACTGCTGGCCATTTTACAGATGAAGAAAAGGATTTGAGAAGCCACCAAACCTTGAAGTGATGGGGCAGGAGCTGGGAGGCGGCAGTGGTGGGGTGGGCTGGCGCTGGGTGCACTCACCTGCTGTTGCTCCTCTAGAACAACGACCTGCTCTGGATGGATTACCACCAGAAGCTGGTGGACCAGGCGCTGCTGACCATGGACACGTATCTGGGCCAGTTCCCTGACATCAAGGTGAGAGGCTGTCCATTGGCGCCATACAGGGAGACGAGAGGGAGAGAGGGACTGGGTGGGGGCAGGCCGGGCTGGCTCAGGCACCGCAGTGACCTGCCCAGAGGCAGGCATCCCTGCCACTGGCGCTTGGTCCCCCAGGACTGCTCCTGCTGCGGCCAGCCCGCCAGCCCAGACAGGGCCTTTCTGAGCTGGGAGCTGTGCGTGTGCTGCGTGTGCTGCGTGTGCTGCGTGTGGCAGTGCCTGGAGTCTGGGACTGCATACGGTGTGTCCGAGATGTCCGCCTGTTAGGCTGTGTGTACGCATCGCCCCTCATCCGGGGTCGCCGTGTGGCTGTGTGCTCTCACAGCCATCCGGGGTCTCTGTGTGGCTGTGTGCTCTCACAGCCATCCGGGGTCTCTGTGTGGCTGTGTGCTCTCACAGCCATCCGGGGTCTGTGTGACTGTGTGCTCTCACAGCCATCCGGGGTCTCTGTGTGGCTGTGTGCTCTCACAGCCATCCGGGGTCTCTGTGTGACTGTGTGCTCTCACAGCCATCCGGGGTCTCTGTGACTGTGTGCTCTCACAGCCATCCGGGGTCTCTGTGACTGTGTGCTCTCACAGCCATCCGGGGTCTCTGTGGTTGTGTGCTCTCACAGCCATCCGGGGTCTCTGTGACTGTGTGCTCTCACAGCCATCCGGGGTCTCTGTGGCTGTGTGCTCTCACAGCCATCCGGGGTCTCTGTGACTGTGTGCTCTCACAGCCATCCGGGGTCTCTGTGGCTGTGTGCTCTCACAGCCATCCGGGGTCTCCGTGTGGCTGTGTGCTCTCACAGCCATCCGGGGTCTCTGTGACTGTGTGCTCTCACAGCCATCCGGGGTCGCTGTGTGACTGTGTGCTCTCACAGCCATCCGGGGTCTCTGTGACTGTGTGCTCTCACAGCCATCCGGGGTCTCTGTGTGACTGTGTGCTCTCACAGCCATCCGGGGTCTCTGTGACTGTGTGCTCTCACAGCCATCCGGGGTCTGTGTGACTGTGTGCTCTCACAGCCATCCGGGGTCTCTGTGACTGTGTGCTCTCACAGCCATCCGGGGTCTGTGTGACTGTGTGCTCTCACAGCCATCTGGGGTCTCTGTGTGACTGTGTGCTCTCACAGCCATCCGGGGTCTGTGTGACTGTGTGCTCTCACAGCCATCCGGGGTCTGTGTGACTGTGTGCTCTCACAGCCATCCGGGGTCTCTGTGACTGTGTGCTCTCACAGCCATCCGGGGTCTCTGTGTGACTGTGTGCTCTCACAGCCATCCGGGGTCTCTGTGACTGTGTGCTCTCACAGCCATCTGGGGTCTCTGTGACTGTGTGCTCTCACAGCCATCCGGGGTCTCTGTGTGGCTGTGTGCTCTCACAGCCATCCGGGGTCTGTGTGACTGTGTGCTCTCACAGCCATCCGGGGTCTCTGTGTGGCTGTGTGCTCTCACAGCCATCCGGGGCCGCTGTGTGACTGTGTGCTCTCACAGCCTGCTGCCCTGCTGGTGGGCTGTGCTGTGTTGTCAATGAGCCAGTGTCCCCACCGAGGTCAGGCCCGGTGCTTCCCTGGGGAAGAAGAGCCGGACCGGACCCACAGGGGTCCTGCTGGCCCCCCTCCCCCGGCTGCTGCCTCGGGCTCCCGGTGGGAGTGTGGAGGCTGAGGGCGTGGCCCAGGGGAAGCATGGTCCAGGCCCGGGGCCAGGCCGGGGGGCTCGGCCTCGATGGCTGGTGGGCGCTGCCGTGGCTGTGCCAGGCGGTGGCCTGCCGTGTGTGAGGAAGGGCGCAGAGGCGTGCACAGCCTTTCCGGTGGGCCCCCTGGGACGCGTGGCTCCTCCCGCCCGGCTCTGCTGGTCGGCGCTGGCAGCGTGGCCAGGCCTGTCAGCCCTCCCCTCCGCTCTCTCCAGTCGCGCATCGCGAAGCGGGGCCGGAAGCTGGTGGACTACGACAGCGCCCGGCACCATTACGAGTCCCTCCAAACTGCCAAAAAGAAGGATGAGGCCAAAATTGCCAAGGTGAGGGCCAGGGCGTGTGGGGAGACGGGGAGGGGTGGGGGAGAGGTCTGTGTGCACCTGCCCCTGTGCGCCTGGCCCTGCCCTCACCTGTGACCGGCAGGTCCCAGAGCTGGTGGTGGGTGACAGGTCCTCACGGTCCCGGGGCGGTCCCCAGGGTGGTCCCTCTGGCTCATCCAGTGGCACCTGCCCAGCCCCTGGTCCTTGGCCGCCCCGCTCCCCTCCCCCTGCTCCCGGTGGCACTTTCTTGAAGGAGAGGCTTGGGTTGCAGGGGCGAGGCCCTCGCCCAGCCGGTGTCTGAGTGGGTTCCTGTGAGCCTGTGTCTGCTGGAACAAGCCAGGCGGTGGGATGGGGGGTTCGGGGGGGTGGGGGGTGTAGGGCTTGGTGGGACCCATTTCCCACCGGGCCTGAGGGAGAGCCCCACCCAGCGGGCCCTGAGTGCCTCACCCTGCCCCAGCTAACGGCTCTCACATTTTGCTTTGCAGTTGGAATTCACCCCTTCGGCGCCTGCTGGGGGCTCCCTTAATTCTCTCGGCCTCCGAGGGGCCGGGTCCCTGGAGGGCAGCAGCTTGTTTGTCCGCCTTCCAGGCCTTTGGACTTGGTGTTTAATGTCTGTCTCTGTTTCTCTCTGCCTCCCTGCCTCCCTCCGTTCTCCACTCTCCCTCCCCTGACTTCCCTTCCCCAGCCTGTCTCGCTGCTTGAGAAAGCCGCCCCCCAGTGGTGCCAAGGCAAACTGCAGGCTCATCTCGTAGCTCAAACTAACCTGCTCCGAAATCAGGTGACACTGGCTTCTAACTTGCACGTGCTGGCGCCTTCCAGTCTGTGCCCTGTCCTGTCTGCACTGCCCTGGCTTGGGGGGCGGGGGGAGGGCCTTCCCAGCTGGAGGCAGGGCTGGTTGCAGAGGCCTGTGCTGGACCAGCCCCGGGTCCCGCAGGGGCAGAGGCTGGGGGCTCTGGGAGGCCAGGTGGGCTCAGCGTCGGGCTCTGGCAGGCCTGGCTGACACCCTGGCGTCCAGAGGCCAGGAGAGCTGGAGCCCTGGGTCCTCGGAGGCTCCTGCAGGGCGGGCTGCGGCACCAGGGCTCTGGCCCGGCACAAGCTGCCTTCGGGGCCCAGAACTGGGAGGTGGTCTGCCTTTTCTGGGGAGAAAACGGAGGAGGCAGTCTCCTGCCGGGTCCCGGAGCCGCTCAGGGGCTGAGGCGGGGGTTCCTCGTGCCCCGGCCCAGGCTCCGGGGTGGCCTGCACAGGCCCTGGGGACCTGGGGAAATGTGGGCCCAGAGCCCTGGAGGCCGTGGAGGGCTCCCCAGCACGCTGGTGTGCTGAGGCGGGCCCCTGGGGAGCTGGGGGGACGGCCCGCGCACAGAGGCCGCGGGGCTTCCCGAAGGAGGATGCCACGCAGTCCTGCCCTCCGCCGGGCAGTGTGCAGGCCCCGGAGGGCTCCGCAGAGAAACTGACGTGACCCGGAACCTGAGCCCTCGGGGCCTTGGGGTGGGGGCAGGCGACAGTGCCGGCCGGGAGGAGGGTTTCTCTCCGGGCGGGCGGCTGCCGCGGCTGCCGGGCCCCTCCTGATCGCATCGTCCCGCCTCTGTGCGGTGGGCGCCGGTCAGCAGGCTGGGGCCAGCTTCTTACCGGACCCGCTGCCTGATTTCTGTAGGCCAGAGCTGGGCTCACTGGGGAGAGTGGCCAGGAGCTCCGGGGTCTGAGGAGGGCCAGGTCTGAGAGGCCGCTGTCCTGTGCTGCGGGTGCGGCAGCGCCAGCGGCCTCTGCAGAGCGGGGACTCTGGCCGGAGGGCCGGGCCACCCCGGAGACGTGGTTTCTGTGCCGTCTTCCTGAGGCAGGTCTCCGAGGCCCTGAGCAGCTTTGTGGGGGAGGAGTCTCCCGAGAGGCTGGGGCGGGGAGGCCGGAAGCAGCTTCGGGCTCCTGGGATGGGTGTGGTTGGGGTCTGGCTGGAGGGCCCACGCCCGGTCCGGGTGTCGCAGGGGAAGCTAAAGCACGTGATGTCATCGCTGCTGTTGGCTGAGATGTTTCGCCTTCCAGCCAAATTGGCTTTCCCGTTTGGATTCGAGTCTGAGCATTCTTCCTTTGGCTCCCCCTGCCTCACGCCTGGCTGGGGTGGGGCGGCCTTAGGGTCCTGGGGGGCTGGCAGCCTGGGAGCTGGGTGCTGGAGCCTGCAGCTGCCCCAGGGCTGGCCTGGCTGCAGACAGTGCGAGGTGGCGGGCGGTGCACTCCGAGCTGACCAGCTCCTGTGTGCCCAAGGCCGAGCTTGTCACACTGCCAGTCCCCCAGCGCTGCCTGCAGGGCCCCGGTGCCCCGTTTTGGGTCCACTGCTCACGTCCATCGGTCAGCATGTAGCGGAGCCACTGGGGCGTCCAGCCTCCCGCGGCGGGTGGCGGTCCTCCCTCCCCGGCGGGCGGCGGTCCTCCCTCCCCGGCGGGCGGCGGTCCTCCCTCCCCGGCGGGCGGCGGTCCTCCCTCAGTGGGCGGCGGTCCTCCCTCCCCGGCGGGCGGCGGTCCTCCCTCCCCCGGCGGGCGGCGGTCCTCCCTCCCCGGCGGGCGGCGGTCCTCCCTCCCCGGCGGGCGGCGGTCCTCCCTCCCCGGCGGGCGGCGGTCCTCCCTCCCCGGCGGGCGGCGGTCCTCCCCCGGCGGGCGGCGGTCCTCCCTCCCGGCGGGCGGCGGTCCTCCCTCCCCGGCGGGGGGCGGTCCTCCTCCCCCGGCGGGCGGCGGTCCTCCCTCCCCCGGCGGGCGGCGGTCCTCCTCCCCGGCGGGCGGCGGTCCTCCCTCCCCGGCGGGCGGCGGCCCTCCCTCCCCGGCGGGCGGCGGTCCTCCCTCCCCGGCGGGCGGCGGTCCTCCCTCCCCGGCGGGCGGCGGTCCTCCCTCCCCGGCGGGCGGCGGTCCTCCCTCCCCGGCGGGCGGCGGTCCTCCTCCCCGCGGGCGGCGGTCCTCCCCCGGCGGGCGGCGGTCCTCCCCCGGCGGGCGGCGGTCCTCCCTCCCCGGCGGGCGGCGGTCCTCCCTCAGTGGGCGGCGGTCCTCCCCCGGCGGGCGGCGGTCCTCCCTCCCCCGGCGGGCGGCGGTCCTCCCTCCCCCGGCGGGCGGCGGTCCTCCCTCGGCGGGCGGCGGTCCTCCCTCCCCGGCGGGCGGCGGTCCTCCCTCCCCGGCGGGCGGCGGTCCTCCCTCCCCCGGCGGGCGGCGGTCCTCCCTCCCCGGCGGGCGGCGGTCCTCCCTCCCGCGGAGGGCGGCGGTCCTCCCTCCCCGGCGGGCGGCGGTCCTGCACTCCCTGCCGCTCAGACCCAGGGGGTGCACGTGGCTCCGGCCCTGACCTTCGGGGTTAAAGGAGTAGCGCCGTGCTTCCCAGGATCGCTGGGCCGCGGGCCGTGCCGGCACACGGCGCCGAGACCCTGCCGCTGCCCTCGTCCTGGTCACGGTTGTTCTCGGGAGCCAGGCCGGCATCTGGGGGGAGGCGGGCTCCACGGCACCGAGCGGGGACGGCCCAGGCTGCGGAGGGAGGCGCAGGGCAGTGCCGGGCGCTCAGGCTTGCGGCCGAGCTGCGGCGTGCACGCCATCTTAGCGCCCAGGGGCAGCTGCCGGGCCGGAGCCCCTCGCGGGAGCAGGGCATGGGTTTCTGCCCTCCCTCCCACCTCTAACTTTAAATCAGGATGTTAAAGCTTGGGCCAGGCACGCTCACTTGAGCAAGTTCCGGCAGATGGCGGACCGCTCCCCGCCCCCTGCACCCGAGCTGCAGAGCTCAGCCTGGCACGCGCAGAGGGGCGGCGCGGGCTGGCCTGGTGCCCGAGGCGGGGGAGGCCCGTGGCGATGCGGCCTTTCGGCAGAGGCTGTCGTGGGAGGGGTCCTGGGCGGTGACTCAGCCCGAGCCAGGCACTCTGAGTCACTGTTTCCAGCCGTGCCTGCAGGAGAGCTGGCAGAGCCCCCAGCGGGTCTGGTGGTGGCCCTGCACCTTGGGGGCGCGGGGGCTGCAGCTTTCCCCCCTTGGGCTCGGCCTGGGCCCCAGCACCACTGCGGGGTGGGAGCGGCTGGAGGGCACCGGCTTGCGCAGGGCGGGGGGGCTGGAGCAGGCCTGCCCTCCAGCTGGGCGCACAGGTGACAGGAGGGGGAAGGCTGCTGGGGAGGTGGATGCAGGCTGGGGGCTGAGCCTGAGCAGAGGGGCCTTGAGAGGGGGCAGGGCGCAGGCTGACACCGAGCCTGGGGCTCACATAGCGGCAGGTCCCGAGGCTGGGTCCTGTGCCCCGGCCCACGCTGCACCTTCCTGTGCCCTGTCACCCCTCGTCTCCCTCCCGGGCTGCCCGGCAGGAGAGGGCTCCCCTCGCCAGGGCTGTCCGCCCCTCCGAGGGCCTGGCGCCGGGTCCCAGGGGCTGCGAGGCTGGGGCTGCCCGGTCCCACCCCCGGCCCAGAGCCCAGTGTGAGCTCGCAGGCGGGCGGGAGGTTGGAGCAGGTCTGAGGGGCCGGCCTGGCCTCGCTCTCAGGCTGGGACTGGCAGCAGAAGCCAACACTGGTCCCGCCTGCAGGCCGAGGAGGAGCTGGTCAAAGCGCAGAAGGTGTTCGAGGAGATGAATGTGGACCTGCAGGAGGAGCTGCCGTCCCTGTGGAACAGGTGAGGGGGAGGTGGCCGGCCCCTCGCCCCCTGTCCACCTGCACCCCCGGTGCCCCCTCCCACCTGCACCCCCAGTGCCCCCTCCCCACCTGCACCCCTGGTGCCCCCTCCCACCTGCACCCCCGGTGCCCCCTCCCCACCTGCACCCCCGGTGCCCCCTCCCCACATGCACCCCCGGTGCCCCCTCCCACCTGCACCCCCGGTGCCCCCTCCCCACCTGCACCCCTGGTGCCCCCTCCCACCTGCACCCCCGGTGCCCCCTCCCACCTGCACCCCCGGTGCCCCCTCCCCACCTGCACCCCCGGTGCCCCCTCCCCACCTGCACCCCTGGTGCCCCTGCATCGGGTACACGCCTCTCAGCTGTGTCGCAGGCGCGGGTGCAGCGGGCGGCGTGCACGGGCTCCTGGCCGCCACCCTGACTGACCTGCGTGTTCCTTTTGTCTCCGCAGCCGCGTGGGGTTCTATGTGAACACGTTCCAGAGCATCGCGGGCCTGGAGGAGAACTTCCACCGGGAGATGAGCAAGGTGGGTGTGCGGGCGGCCCCGGGCACAGAGGCCGGCCAGCTCCCACCTCCCCACCGAGTGGCACAGGCCCTGTGGCCCGGAGCCCCCAACGCCCCTCCACTGCCCCGGAGCTGCGGGGGGTGTGGGGGTGCGGGGGGGAGGGGGAGGGGGGAGGGGTGCTGGCTGCACAGAGCCCGCTGCTCATGCTGTGACTGTCCTCAGGCAGCTTGGGCCTGGGGGGCTGTCAGGAAACGTGGTGGCTTCCCATTTCGTAAGCAAATAAATAATCTGCTGGGATTTTCTGTTTTTAACATCCTTCCATGTGTCTCAGAGGTTGAGCCAGGGCTGCTAGATCTTTGCGGCCCTGTGTGGGAAGGTGGGGTTGCCCACGCCCGTGTTGTTACTTTCACGTGGTTTAACCGGGAGGCAGAGGGCAGAGCAGAGGGGGACCGGCCGGACCTCCACCCCCGTGCCCTGGCGGCCCTGGCGCCTGCAGGGGGAAGGGGTGCTGGGCCCCGGCCCGCAGAGGGCCGTCGCGGGCCTTCCCAGTCACCCGGCACCGTAGCCGCCCTTTCTGCCTTCTTTCCCCTCGCCCTCAGAGGCCGGGCAGCGAGGACAGGGGACCAGGTGGCCGGGCGGAAAGCATTGTGTAGAGCAGGAGGGGTGGTCCCGGAGCCTCCTGGCAGCAGCCCAGAGGCTGGGTGCGCAGGGCAGGCCTGGTGGGACTCCCGGCAGGGGCAGTGGCCGGGAGCATCTCGGCAGGTGGCCTAGCAGCTCAGAGCCACGGCTGTTTGAAGGCGGCTAACCATTCCCACAGCCGGCTCCGCGGGCGCTGTGAGGAATCTCCACGAAAGAGGCTCCGTGGGCAGGCAGCCGCTTCCTCCACTCCCCCCTGGCTTCCCGTGGGGGTGGGCTCGCAGCTCCCGCTGCCGGGCAGCGCTGCTTTCGGGCAGGGCGTGCGGGGGCTTCGGGGAGCCGGGCGTGGGGAGAGGCTGTGGTGGCTCAGGGGCCCTGCCCGGTGCCCTCTCTCCGCAGCTCAACCAGAGCCTCAACGACGTGCTGGGCGGCCTGGAGAAGCAGCACGGGAGCAACACCTTCACGGTCAAGGCCCAGCCCAGGTGCGTGAGGCGCGTGCTCGGTGCTGGGCCGGCGTGGCCGCGGGGCTGGGACCGGCGAGGCTGGGCAGGGCTGCTTCCGTGGTCACCGGCGTGGCCTTCCCGGCGTGGCCTGCCTGTGCTCGGGCAGCGGTGCGGGCTGCCCTCCGAGCCTCCTGCGGGAGGAGCCCTCCTCTGCGGGAGGCGGAGGGTGTGGGGTCCGGGAAGTGAGCAGTCCTCTTAGGGCGGGGGGAGCCCGAGTCTGGGCTGGCATCGCACACCCCAGCCAGAGCCAGGACAGCGTGTCGAGGAGACCCGCTTCCTGAGGGGAGGGCGGGAAGGCCTCTCGGCGCCTGAGTGGGAGCACAGGGAGCCACTCTGCTTCGCGGGTGGCTGGGTTACCCGGGACCAAGGAGCGTTCAGTGCACATTGCTGCCCCTCTCCTCTGACAATCACCAGCGTGCCCTGGCTGAGCAGCGCTGGGGGTGGCGGTGGGTGCAGGCCAAGGGGGACGCCAGTGCCTCCTGCTGCGGGCCGGGCAAGGGCTGTCCTGGTCGCCATCCTGGCCACCGGGGGAAGGAGGGCTGGTGCCCGCAGCGGCCTGCTCACCGGCCCGGGGCCCACTGGCACGGCCACCCCTTCCGGACACGCCGGAGCCCGTGGCTGCCCGCCGGCCCTGAGCTCCCCGGCTCCGCCGTCTCGTCAGCACGCCGGGGCCCGGGCTGACCTCGCACCCCTGGGTGTTGGGGGTGGCTTTCCGCCCGGCCCCGTTAGTGGCCCGAGGGGTGAGGACGGCCAGCCACAGCCCGCTTCCCTGGGTGAAGGCTCCGTCCGTCCGTCCACAGAAAGAAAGCTAAACTGTTCTCGCGGCTGCGCAGGAAGAAGCCCAGGTACCGCCGAGTGCTGTGGGGCCAGGCCGCCGCTGCGCCCGTGCATGCCGCCCGCTGCTCCGGGCACTAACCCCTAACTGGGCACCGGGAGGCACCGGGAGGGCGGGGGGCGGCAGCCTGAGCCGTGTGCGCTGGTTAACGGTGCCAGCGCAGAGGGGCCGGAGGGCGGGGCCGCCTCTGTCCGCCCACCTGATCCTCGGAGCACACGCCTCCCAGGACACTCACCCACTCACTCCCGGGACTGCCCGCTGGAGCCCCTGCCCAGGCAGCCAGGCACCGCGTGTGGCTGCATCGGGGTCCGGCCAGTGTGCCTGAGGAGCTGGAGTCTTTCTGACTTTTTACAGAGCGGAAAGGAGAGGGATAGAGTTAGAAACATTGATGAGAGAGAAACATCCATCAGCTGCCTCCTGCACACCTCCTATTGGGGATGTGCCCGCAACCAAGGTACATGCCCTTGACCGGAATCGAACCTTCAGTCCGCAGGCCGACGCTTTATCCACTGAGCCACACTGGTCAGGGCAAGGAGCTGGATTCTTAATTGACTCCACTTGAGTGGAATGTGCACAGCCACTGGGCTGGTGGCTAGTGGCGGCCAGCCGTGCCGGCATGTCTGAGCACACACAGGTGTGCTGGGCCCTCTGCACCCACACACACAGGAGGCCTGTGCACACAGCTCCTGGTTCTCATGCGGAACAGGTGCTCATGAAACTCACCCCCAGCCCAGCCCTGGGCTGTGGGCACCCTCTGCTCTCCTCCGCCATGGCCTCCGGGGCCTCCCAGGCCTTCCCGGAAGGTCCCTGGGAGCCAGGGTTCGGAGACAGCGATGTGAGGCCTGGGCGGAGGCGTGGTGTGGGCGGGGGGCCAGGCATCGGTGTGAGTGTGAGTGGGGCGGCGGGCGGGAGGAGGCAGCAGGCCTCTGGGTGCAGCTCAGCACCCAGTGGATCGCAGGACTGACGTGTGGCTGGTGGGGACTCATTGCCTCTAGGCTGCTTGGCTTTCTCTCTGGCGAGCTCGGGCCCGTGAGGCCACCAGGCCGCTCTGACCCCTGGGGACCACAGGCCCCGCTCAGAGCTGCCCAGGTGCTGCTTCCAGGCCTCAGGCACAGGGACCCGCAGCTCACCCGTGGCACATCACGTTCCAGTGAGTCCACGTGGACACTCCTCACACTCGGGTTCACACACTGCTCCACATGCTCACACACACACACACACACACACACACGTTCTGCACATGGAACCTGGGCATCCTCACATGAACACTCCTCCCGCACACTGCTCTACATGCTCACACACACACACACACATACACACACACATGTTCTCGTGCACATGGACCCTGGGCATCCTCACATGCACACCCTCCTGCACACTGCTCTTCATGCTCACACACACACACACACACACACACACACACACACACGTTCTGCACATGGAACCTGGGCTACACACACACACACACACACGTTCTGCACATGGAACCTGGGCATCCTCACATGAACACTCCTCCCGCACACTGCTCTACATGCTCTCACACACACACACACGTGTTCTCTTGCACATGGACCCTGGGCATCCTCACATGCACAGCCTTCTGCACACTGCTCTACATGCTCTCCCTCTCTCTCCCTCTCTCTCTCTCTCTGTCTCTCTCACACACACACACACACACAGTTCTCTTGCACATGGACCCTGGGCATCCTCACATGCACAGCCTTCTGCACACTGCTCTACATGCTCTCCCCCCACCCCCCTCTCTCTCTCACACACACACACACACACACACACGGTTCTCGTGCACATGGACCCTGGGCATCCTCACATGCACATCCTCCTGCACACTGCTCTTCATGCTCACACACACACACACACGTGTTCTCTTGCACATGGACCCTGGGCATCCTCACATGCACAGCCTTCTGCACACTGCTCTACATGCTCTCCCCCCCCCCCCTCTCTCTCACACACACACACACACACACACACACACACGGTTCTCGTGCACATGGACCCTGGGCATCCTCACATGCACATCCTCCTGCACACTGCTCTTCATGCTCACACACACACACACACGTGTTCTCGTGCACATGAACCCCAGGGCATCCGACGTGCACACCTCCCGCACACACCTGCAGATCTGCACACGTTCTTTGGCGCTAGGCCCCCCTCCACCGGACACCCTGTCTCCCTCCGCAGTGACGGCGCGCCTGCGAAAGAGAACAAGAGCCCCTCGCCGCCGCCCGATGGCTCCCCCGCGGCCACCGCCGAGGCCAGAGCCAACCACGAGCCCGAGCCGGCGGGGGCGGCCGCCCCCGGGCCTGCCCTGCCCAAGTCCCCGTCTCAGGTAGGCGGTCTCGGCGCTGCCCCTCCTGCCTGTCCTCCTGCGGCTGCGGCCCCTCTCCCCGTTCTGCTTCCCGCCCGGGCCTGGGCCGGTCTGGAGCCAGGGGCTTTGCCCAGAGTGGGCTGAGCCGGCGTTGCTCTCCCTGAGCCCTGCTGGCCCAGGCTGCCTTAATGCAGGGCGTCTGTCCTGTTTCCTTCCTCCTCACTGTGCCCAGTGGCTTTACGCCCTCCATCTTCCCTCCACGTAGGACACAGGCTCAGGCCCTCAGCCCGAGCACCAGGTCCTGGGGGGGGCGGGCAGCTGCCACCTGGCATGGGACAGTGAAAGGGCCCCCGTGGAGAAACCTGCCCCGCCCGCCCGCCCTCCAGGCTTCCTGAAGGGAGTTGAAGCGGAGGGCGGGGCAGTGTCTCCGTGGGCTGCCTGCCCTCCACTCCTGGCAGCAGCTCTGCTGGGCTGTGCCTCACCCACCGACCGTGATGAGGACACAGATGGTAGCAGAGCCGAGCCCCCTTTGAGCGGCGCTTGCATCGAAGCCGGCAGTCGCCTGGGAGGCAGACTGGCAGCCCCTTGATGAGTGCTGCGGGCGGGCGGGCGCGCCGTGAGGCCCGGCTCCGGGCAGGGCTGTGACTGCTCTGCGGCCTCCTCCTGGTCCTGCTCAGGCCGCAGTGACTGGAGGCCCCGCTGCCCGAGCTCCCAGCGGAGCAGGCAGAGCGAGGCCGAGGGGCCAGGCGGCTGGGCCTCACCTGGAGAGCCCTCTGCTCCTCTGCTCTCCCCTCCTTCCCCTTCCTTCTCCCCCGCCTTTCCTCGTTCTCTCTGCACAGCGCCAGACCTCCTCCCTGGAGGGGGGCTGGGGCCTGTCTCGGGGAGCAGTGACTCCTTGCTTCATCCACCCCGCTGCCTGGGCGGGCCGCGTCCGTGTGACTAACCTTGGCTTTGTCTGTCTGTCTGTCTCCCACCCCGTGCTCCCTGCGCGGCCCCTCACCCGCGTGGATCAGCTCCGGAAAGGCCCACCTGTCCCTCCGCCTCCCAAACTCACCCCGTCCAAGGAGGTCAAGCAGGAGCAGATCCTCAGCCTGTTTGGTGACACCTTTATCCCCGAGATCAGCGTGACCACCCCCTCCCAGGTCAGCCGCGCCGGCTGCGGCCCAGCTCCCCTCCTCCTGCTCTCCGGGCGTGCATGGCCTCCCTCCATCCCACCTGTGCCTCTGCCTGCAGAGCCGGGCTTCGGCCAGAGACCTGGCCTGCGCCTCCCTCCCTCACTCATTCGTTCACCGCGCTTCCATCGTCATCCCTCCTCCATCTGAGCATGCCCGCGGCCGCCTCAGGCACCTGAGCAGGCGGTCCCAGCGGGTGATCATCTCAGCGGCCTCCTGGGCATGGATGCTGGGGCTGAAGGGTGGGAGCGCGGAGGCCTTGCCAGTGGGGCGGGGTCCTTCCTGGGGCAGAGACAGCCTGAGGCTGTGGTGGGCCAGACTGAGCTCGGAGCTCGCCTGCCAGTGCTTGCCCAGCAGGTCAGCAGGAGGCCGAGCAGAGGGTCGCTCCGGAGCGGCCTGCACCACACGCAGTGCGGCCAGGGCCTGGGTCCTGCGCCTCCCAGCCAGGCCCTGGCCACGCAAACCTGGTTCTGTGTGGCTTTCGGTCCCAGGCTGTGGGGGCCCTGCCTGGGGCACTCGCTCGGACTCCGTAGCAGCCTCTCAGCGGCCGGGCGCTGGGCAGGGCGGTGTGAGCACGGTGGAGGGGGAGGAGGTGGAGCTGAGGGCCAGGTCGGGCGCTGGGCAGGGCGGTGATGAGCAGGGTGGAGGGGGGAGGAGGTGGAGCTGAGGGCCAGGTCGGGCGCTGGGCAGGGCGGTGATGAGCAGGGTGGAGGGGGAGGAGGTGGAGCTGAGGACCATCCTCTCAGGAGGACTCGGTCAGAAGCAGGGACGTGCAGTGTGGTGCTGCGTGGGCACAGGGCCGTGTCAGGCCTGGGCCCGGGCGGGCAGCCGGTCTGTGGAGGTGGGGACGCCGGTGGCATCCTGAGTGCAGGGAGCAGGCTGCTGGGCCACATGCCGCTGGCGTGTGCTTCTGCCCGTGCCCAGCACTGTGACCTGGCTGGGCAGTGTCCCCACCTCCATAGTGACCTGGTCAGTTCCTCAGCCAGGCCTTGTCCCCTGAGCCGTGGGCAGCGGTGCCCGGTGCTCCAGGCCTGCAGGCCTCTCCTGAGGCCACACCTCGGCGAGCAGCTTCTCGGGGAGCCCTCCGCACACCCCGGGCCTCGGAGGACCGAGGACAGGGCCGGAGGGCGCTCCCCTCCGTGCTCGTGCCTGCCAGGAGAGGCAGAGCTGGTGGGCCCCCGGATTGAGGCCGGGAGCCCTCACACGGACGGGGCCGCGTGTCCCCGGCTCGGTGCTGGGGCATCTTCTGCAGGGCTCTGGCCTGTGAGGCCCTCACCGTGGGCGGGGCCTCCAGCACCGGGCCACGTGTGCCTTCACAGGCCCATTGCTGAGCTGACCGGGCCCTCATGGTGATCTCGGGGTGGCTGGGGTGCCACAGGTGTTGGGACCCACCTTCACGGTCGGGCCCCGTGGCAGTGTGTCTGGTTTGGCCCTGTCCTCACCCCCGGGAGCTGGCTGGTGGGTGTCACACAGGGGGACATCTGTCAGGGCGGAGAGGGAGACGAGCCTGTCCCAGGGCCCGTGGCCTGCCCGCCCACATGCCCGGGCTTCCCAGGTGTATGGTGAGGTCCTGGGGGCGGTGAGGTCCCGGGGGCGGGGAGGTCCCGGGTGTGTGGTGAGGTCCCGGGGGCGGGGAGGGCCCGGGGGCGGGGAGGTCCCGAGGAGGTCCCGGGGGCCCCGGGCGGGAGGTTCTGGCAGCTGGTGGTGCAGGAGTGAGAGGCAGAGCCCGCAGTGAGCGGGCTGGCGGGTGGGGGCCGGCCTGAGGTGGGGGTGTGCGCCGGGGTGTCCGGCGAGGACGTGCTGCCCCGTGAGGGCCGTCTGCGCGGGCGCCCGTGTGCCCTCGGCCGCGCCGCCTGTCTGTGCTGTGTGTGCTTCTCCGTCACTAACCGCTTCCTCCTCTGCTGCCGCCGCCCCGCCCAGTTCGAGGCCCCGGGGCCGTTCTCGGAGCAGGCCAGCCTGCTGGACCTGGACTTTGACCCCCTGCCCGCGGCGAGCCCCGTGAAGGCGCCCACGCCCTCCGGTCAGGTTGGTCCGATCTGCCACCCCTGTGCCCGCCGGCATCCGGGCCGCGGGCCCTGGGCTCCTGTCTGTCCCCCGGCCGTGAGGGCCCGTGGGCCCGGCCCGCTCCCACTCCCCTCCCTCCGGGCCTCGCCCCTCTGCCAGTCCAGCACGGGAACGGAAGGGACAGGGCGGGCCCGGGGGAGGGCCGTGGCCTCACCTGGCAGCGGTCAGCTTCTCCAGCGCCCGCGCCTGTCCTGCGGCAGCCCTGTCGGGGTGCCCCGGCCTGGGTGGCAGTCTCCGGAGCGCTGTCCGGGACTCGGCCTCCGGGGACCCAGCCTGGCTCAGGCTGACCTGTGCCTGCCGGCTCGAGGGCCCTGGGGGGGTGGGGCGGGTCACCTGCTGCTTGCTGCCCGCTAACTCCTGTGCTAACTCTGTGCTTCTCCCCCTGCTGCCTCAGCCCATCCCCTGGGACCTCTGGGAGGTAAGCCTGCTGCTCCGCGCGGTCCCGCCGCCCTCTGCGTGGGGCCCGCTCAGCGTGAGCACAGCCGCTCCTGTGCGGCTGCCGCCAGCGGCTCCTCTTCTGGGGCTCCTGCCCGCCAGCCCCGTGGGGAGGGCCCTGCCCCCCAGCCCCGTGGGGAGGGCCCTGCCCCCCAGCCCCGTGGGGAGGGCCCCTGCTCGTCAGCCCCATGGGGAGGGCCCCTGCTCGTCAGCCCCATGGGGAGGGCCCCTGCCCGCCAGCCCCATGGGGAGGGCCCTGCCCCCCAGCCCCGTGGGGAGGGCCCTGCCCCCCAGCCCCGTGGGGAGGGCCCCTGCTCGTCAGCCCCATGGGGAGGGCCCCTGCTCGTCAGCCCATGGGGAGGGCCCCTGCTCGTCAGCCCCATGGGGAGGGCCCTGCCCGCCAGCCCCGTGGGGAGGGCCCTGCCCGCCAGCCCATGGGGAGGGCCCCTTGGTTTCACTTGGGAAGGGTCCTCCCGGATGGCCCGGTGCCAGGGCCTGAGCGGCCTCCACCCCGGCCAGCTGGCTGACTTCCCATCGGAGGCCTGGGGCGGGGTCTCTGCCTTTGACAGGCTTTGTCCCCAGAGGCCACAGGGGGCCACATCGGGGCCACAGGGGGCAGGGTGGGGGGAGGGAAAGGTGAGCTGGCGGCTCTGCACGGGCTCCGAGGCAGGGACGGGCCTGTGGAAGGGCTGGCGACGCGCCTCGGCCAGGCTGGGCGGCTGGGACAGCCCGTGGAAGGGCTGACTGGAGGGCCTGGGGGAGTTTCAGGGGGACTGGGACATGGAGGCAGGTGCCCCACAGGGTGGGCGTCTGTCCGGGCTCTGGCCAGCGCTGCCCCTGTGCCAGCACCGGCGGCTCACGCCTGTCTCTGTCTCGTGCCCTGCCCACCGCCCGCCCCCCCGGCTCCCGCCCTCCCCCCTTCTCCGTGGTGCCTGCCACCAGCCCGCAGAGGGGCCAGCTGGCAGCTCACCTCCCAGCGAGCCCAACGCTGCCGAGGGCACCTTTGCCGTGGCCTGGCCCGGCCGGGCGGCCGAGCCAGGGCCTGCCCAAGTAAGTGCCGCCTGCCAGCCCCGTCTGCCCCCGGAACGGGGTGTAGCTCGGAAGAGGAGCCTAGAGGAGGGAGCTTAGGATGGACACGCTGCGCGAGCCAGGGGTGACGCAGGGCCACGGGCCCTGCCTGGGATGGGCAGTCACCGTGCTCGGGCGGCTGGCTCAGAGCACCCCTCCCCGGAGGGAGGAGCATGCGGAGCACCGCGGGGTTAGGGTGAGGACTGTCAGAGCCTCCTCCCTCGCCCCCTGCAGTGCCATCCCCCTCCGAAGAGCGAGGGGTGCGGATCGCTCCCAGGGCTGGCAGTGGCCGAGGGGGGCTGGCCCGGGGCAGCCGGCTGCACCAGGGGCCCCTGACCCTGCCCAGCCACCCCCCATCCCGGTGCCCAGCCTGCGCCCGCCCTCTTCCCGGAGCAGCCTGCGGGCCGGCGGCCAGGCGGGGCTGGTGGCCAGGCGCCTCGGCTTGGGCCTCGGCGGGCCTGTGAGGGCGATGTCGGGCCAGCTGCTCCCAAGCCCAGGACCTCGCTCTGCTCCAGGGCTCCTGGCCGGTCAGACGCTGGCCGGCTCCAGGCGCCTCGCGGCGCTGCCCCTGGCCCTGCCTGTCCACGGTGGCCCGTCTGACCGGCTGCGTTTATGTTGCAGCCGGCAGAGGCCTCGGAGGCGGCAGGAGGCACCCAGGAGCCCGGGGACACAGCAGCCGGGGAAGCAGCCTCGGTGAGACCCAGGGCTGGCCCTGCCCTGCCTCTCCTCCCCGCTGTCTGTCTGTCTGCTGCTCGCCTGTCTGTGCCCCAGCTCTGTGTGCTGCAGTTTCCGCGGGGGGGCTGGAGGCAGGCTGGGCTGGTGCCAGCCAGCACCCCTCGCCACCCCCCTCCTGCCCCCTCCCGCCCCCTCCCGCCCCCTCCCCACACCCCTCCCGCCCCCCTCTCCACACCCTCCCTGCCCCCCTTGCCACCCCCCTCCTGCCCCCTCCCGCCCCCTCCCGCCCCCCTCTCCACACCCTCCTGCCCCCCTTGCCACCCCCTCCTGCCCCCTCCCGCCCCCTCCCGCCCCCCTCTCCCACACCCTCCCTGCCCCCCTTGCCACCCCCCTCCTGCCCCTCCCGCCCCCCCCCCGCCCCCTCCCGCCCCCCTCCCGCTCACGGACACGCTCCCTCCCAGAACTCGCTGCCGGCCGTGGTGGTGGAGACCTTCTCCGCGGTGAACGGGGCGGTGGAGGGCAGCGGCGGGGGTGCGCGCGTGGACCTGCCCCCGGGGTTCATGTTCAAGGTAAGGCCCGGCCCAGCCCCAGCTCGCCGGTCCCTGCCCAGGTGTCCTGGGGCGGGGGAGGCCGGCGATGGAGTTGGCCCGAAGCCGCCTCCCTCCTGCAGCGCCTGCCACTGGCTGGCGAGCTGGCACTGCTCCCGCGCTCCTGGCCGCGCACACCGGCCGCAGGGCCAGGCCTCCGAGCGCGGGTGAGCAGCTCCCGCACCCCCGCAGGTGCAGGCCCAGCATGACTACGCCGCCACCGACACGGACGAGTTGCAGCTCAAGGCGGGGGACGTGGTGCTGGTGATCCCCTTCCAGAACCCCGAGGAGCAGGTGGGCCCCGTACCTGTCCTCCTCACGCCCTTCGCCCGCTCCCTCCTTCCGTCCCTCCGTCAGTCCGTCCCTCCCTCCCTTCCTCCTTCTGTCCCTTTATCCCTCTATCCCTCCGTCCGTCCCTCCCTCCGTCCCTCCCTCTGTCCCTCCCTCCATCTCTCTATCCCTCCATCCCTCCGTCCCTTCCTCTGTCCCTCCCTCCATCTCTCTATCCCTCCATCCCTCCGTCCCTCCCTCCCTCCCTCCATCCCTCTATCCCTCCTTCCGTCCCTCCGTCCGTCCCTCCCTCCGTCCCTCCCTCTGTCCCTCCCTCCATCTCTCTATCCCTCCATCCCTCCGTCCCTCCCTCCTTCCCTCCCTCTGTCCCTCCCTCCATCTCTCTATCCCTCCATCCCTCCGTCCCTCCCTCCGTCCCTCCCTCTGTCCCTCCCTCCATCTCTCTATCCCTCCATCCCTCCGTCCCTCCCTCCTTCCCTTCCTCTGTCCCTCCCTCCATCTCTCTATCCCTCCATCCTTCCGTCCCTTCCTCCCTCCCTCCGACTTTCCCTCCCTCTGTCTATCTGGTCCCCCACATGCCTCTCCTCTCTCCCCACGCTTCCTTGCACGCCTCAGCTCTGTAGGCTTCCTTCTCCATACTTCCCTGTGTACCCCCCACCCCCCTCCACCGGGGCCGTCCTTCCGTGAACCTCCTGGCTTCTCCTTATCTGCCTGGGCGGGGGGCGGGGGGCGGGGGGGAGCTCCGTGGGGGCAAGCTTGGCGGCCCTGTCTCCTGGGTGGGCCGGCTGCTGTGTGCACTGGCTGTGGCTGCAGCAGGACTCACTGTGGGTGTCGGGGTGTTGGCAGGGGGTTGGGGGTGCCCCTTGATATCCAGGTGACATCTGCAGTGCCCAGGGGTCCTGGTTGGACTGGCCTACTTAGTCCTCCGCACCTCCGGGGGGTTTGGCTGACAGGGCTGAGGGTGGGAGGAGGCTGGTTGGGAAGGAGGAGGTCCTGGGCGGCTCAGGGCACCGCACTGCAGCCACGGGCGGGGGTGAGGAATGAGGTTCCCGGCTGATGCCCGTCAGCGGCTCCTCCTGAACCTCGGTCGCAGCCCTGGTGGGGCGGGTTTCAGGGCAGAATCCTGGCTCTGCCCCTGCCTGCCATCTGGGCCAGCAGGAGTGGCTCAGGTAGGACAGAGGACAGAGAGGGAAGCGATGGGGATGCAGGTGGCACCTGGCATAGCTCAGCTGCAGGCCTGGGGCAGGGTCTGGGCCCGGGAGATGTCGGGACCTGGGAGGGTCGGGTCTGGGGCAGAGGCTGGGGGGTGCCTCGGGCTCCTCTGGAAGCCTGCTGTCCTGGGCTGATTGGGGGTTCGGGAGGGTGGCCAAGTCCTTGGCAGGTGCCTGTGAACGGTGGGGAGCTCCTGGCTGGGACTGAGGGCTGTCAGACACGCCCAGAGCAGGGCCGCGGTCAGGCCGACTTCCAGGGTCCGGGGTGACGAGGTCCCGCCAGAGGACGGGGTTAACCCACCTGCCGAAGGGCGGACGGTCCTGGCAGCTGGGCTTGGGTCTGGGGAGGTTAGCAGGGAAGGCTGCCTGGAGGAGCGTTCTTTCGGGGGCGGACAGCTTCCCAGAGATCCCCGGCCACACACAGCCTGCGGGTCCAGCACCCTCCTTGGCGCCCGATCAGCCTGCGCTCTGCCCCCCAGGACGAAGGCTGGCTCATGGGCGTGAAGGAGAGCGACTGGAACCAGCACAAGGAGCTGGACAAGTGCCAGGGCGTCTTCCCCGAGAACTTCACGGAGCGTGTGCAGTGAGGCCGTGTGCGGGGCGTCTGTGTGAACACCTTCTCCCCAAGTGTGTGTGTTCTTTTTTTTGTTTTTGAACTTTTTGGAGAGCAAAGGGAATCGAGGAGAGACCTGAGCCGAGAGGCGTCTCCCGAAGAGGAGGGGGCTTTCCGAAGAGCCGGTCCGGCAGCGGGAGTCGCCAGCCTCCGATGCTGCTGTCCCCTAGTTGAGTTCCTGGCTGCCGCCACCGCCAGCGCCCTCCGGGGTCCACAGCCGCGTCCGGCCCGGTGGGCCCCGGCTGCGGAGCCGCCGCGCTTGCCTGAAGCTTTGGCTGAGCCACCTGGCCAGGGTCCTCCTTTCCTGCCCTGCTGGGCGTGGGGTCCAGTCCCCCTAGACACCTTAGGACCAGACCGCTGTCTGGCCTGGCCCTGCCCCGCAGGCGTCTGTGTGCTGTTTGACAATAAACCTTAGTGTTCAAAACAATGAGACAGCCCGACAGAAGCTCGGGAAGTGCGTGTTCTCTCCATTCCTGTCTGTGCGTCGTCACCGGTACCTGTGCTCCCCGCCTGGGCGTGTGCTGGCAGAGGCCGGTTCCTGGGTCGCCACCAGCTGCACCACCAGCCCTGTGAGTCCGCTGGGCGGCTCCTCCCCTCCCCTCTCTCCTCCCCTCACGGCGGCCCTGCGGGAGCTGGATGGCATGCAGAGGCAGGAACCAGGGACAGCGAGGGAAGAGGGGCTGCAGAGCCAGCTGCGTGCCGAGAGGTCTGCTGGGGCCCTGGCCGTGCTGTGTCAGTGCTGTCCAGGGACCGGAGGGTCTTCGGTGCGGTTTCTGGTCCAGGGCACATCCCTCGGTTGCAGGTTTGGGGTTGGGCAGAAGGCACCAGTTGATGTGTCTCTCACAATGATGTTTTTCTCTCTCCCCTCCACTCTCTAAAGATCAATGAAAAAATAAACTCAGGTGAGGATTAAAAAGAAGTTTACTAGGTGCCGCCCTGAGTGGTGTGATTTAATAGACGTGAGAACTCGGGGTCGGGGGCCGGGGTTCCGGGTCAGGTGAGGGAACAGGAGGTTGGTTTGTGGCTCGCAGGTGAGCGGTGGGGGGTCTGAGCCTGGTGCCGGGGCCCACGCTCGGCCCCAGCTCCTCCGTCCAGTCCGTGCAGGGCCGATGCAGGTCAGTGTGTGCGGGGACACGGCCCCGGGCCCAGAGGGACACCCGCCCTCCGGTCCCCGCAGCCTCCCTCAGAGCCGGTCCCACCGCTGGGCCCCGCGTCCGCAGCCCTGTGAGGCTTGTGGGGGGGGGCCCCGTGTAAGCTCGCTCCCACGCTCATGCCCCGTTTCCCGGAAGGCCAGGGCGGCCGGATCGGAGTTCAGTTGTGGCCGAGGGGACAGCTCCTCCCGCTGGCAGGGAGTCTTTCCTGGGGGTCCAGCCTAATACCCACTCCAGCTTTCCAATGATTGCCCAAGCACTGATACCCTGTGCTAAATTCTCTCCTGCCTAACAGAGTGAAGATCTAAAAACATTTTGGATCCTCTACTTTCACTGAAAACAAAGCTGCACAGGGTCAGGTCTGAGAAGGGGTGAGGGGACATGGAAGGCTCCCTTTTGTCTCAGTTTCCTCTTCTGTGGAACGAGACCAAAGATTATCTGTTCATAGTTACTGAAGACCGTGGCAGATGTGTTTCCCGAAGATGGCCACGTTTCCCATCCCTCCCGTGGCCTTGCCACTTTCCGCCACGTCCTCTCTCGAAGGGGGCTGACCTCTGAATGCCAAGGCCAAAAGGCGCAGGGCTGCAGTCCCGCCCACCCGCCAGGGTTTCCAGCTCCAGCTCTGCCATGCCGCTCGCTCGGGGCTCTGTCTTGCTTGCGGCCTCGCCCTCCTGGCTTGCTTCCCCTCCTTGCTGCACATCATGGCTCACCTGCTGGTGCTGTTGGGCCTGGTGGGCGGGGTAAAAGCTCAGGTTGGGCCTTGCACCTCCTGGTTCCTGTGTGCTGCTGCCCCCTGGGCCCCGTGGCCCCTATTCCTGCCGCTGTCTGACGGGGGCCAGATGCCCACATGCTGCACATGGCCTTCGGGGACTGCTGTGGCCCCAGGAAAGCCTCTCCTCTCCATCCCCAGCTCCCGTGCCCTGATCCCAGGCCCACTTCCACCAAAGGAGAGATCTGACCGTGTAGCTGCCCGAGACTGAGACCAAGCAACTCCAAGGTCCCTGGACCCCAAATTTCTGCCAGCCAAGGTGGTTGGCCAGCTGACCCCACCCTGATCAAGGTGTTGGGGGTGATCCAGCACGAATCAGGCAAGTTTGGGAATCAGGCAAGTTTGCTGGCTGCAGGGGGTGTCACAGTGACCGGTCGTTAGGTCATTAAGGCTGTGACAGCATTATGGTCTCTAGCTTTTTATATATATACATGTTCTCTTATAGTTTCAGTCTTGCCTCTGAATTCTTTCCTAGCCAGAACTTAAGTACTGAGGTTGCTGAACCCAGGTCCAATCTGACTCCACTAGTCTATTTCCTGGTGCTGTTTATAGCTGCCTACAACACAATGATGTACAGGATCTCAGAGCTATTATATAAATAAGATAGTTATTCCCAAACTTCCCGAGGTTCCAAATCCACAGAACCAATTATTAGCCGTGCCTGTGAACTGTCAATATTTTTCAGTGATAGATTTATGTAGTGCCTTTTGCACATTTCTGAGAGAGAGAGAGAGAGAGAGAGAGAGAGAGAGAGAGGAGAGAGAGAGAGAGAGAGAGGAGAGGAGAGGAGAGGAGAGAGAGAGAGAGGGAGAGATTAGATGACTATTTCGAGCGACTCTATCGATCGAGAGAGAGAGAGAGAGAGAAAGCTCTTTGCTTTCACTTGGAAGGATTACAAGTTTACTTGGGCAGTAATGCCCCAGGGATATACAGACAGTCCCATCTATTGTTTTAGATACTAAAAACGGATTTGAATGGTGTTGAATTTTTCAGATATTCTGCTCTAATCCAATGTGTAGATACTTTATTTTTTTTCTGTTTACTCAATTTATTGGGGTGACACTTGTTAATAAAATTTTACATGTTTCAGGTGTGTAGATGCTTTATTTTTATGCTCTAGGACATATTAGACTCCCAAGAAGATGCAATATACTTATTGCACCAGTTAGCTATAAAAGGACATAATATCTCAAAAGATAAGCTTCAGTTTTGCTTACCTCAAGTAAAATGCCCTGGCCCTCTCGTATCTAAAGATGGGCTACCCATTGAGCCTAAAAGACACGGAGGAGTCCCATCTTTCCCTCTCCAAAGACATGAAAGCAGCTCAGAGGAGTCCTGGATTTGACTAGATAATGTTGCAATTGGGTTCCAAATTTTTTCATTAAAAAGCTGGCACATGGCCTTCGGGGACTGCTGTGGCCACCAGGAAAGCCTCCCTGGGCCTTTTGTAGGAGGAACTCCTGGACAGGATCCACCCGGAGAAAACCGGCACCCAGCAGGCACGTGGGTTTAGAGCACAGCTCTGTGTCCTGGAAAGCCCACGACCCTGGTCCAATCCAGCACAGCTGGGTGGGAAACGAGTTCTAAAATCGCTAAGGAAAATCTACAGCTCCCGCTCTGGGTCACCTTTCTAACTTTTTACATACAAAAATAAAGGAAATGCTTTGAAAATTTTAACTCAGAAACACTCTTGACTGAAAGCCCTGGAATAACAAAAGGAACAAATACAGAGAAATGCATGACATTTGCTAACCGACCTACACCTTCTGCTCCTGGTTGATGTGGACACTGCCCTTCCAGCTCCCAGTTGGTCCACGTGGCAAGGACCATTCTTTTCCTTATGCATGTCTGGAAAAGTAAACACACTTACTGAAAATAAATAGGTGCAAAATTAAAGTTTCAAAGCCTCCCTCCACTCCTACCCAAAGCCACTCAGTTCCCCTCCTCTAAGGCTCCAATACTATTGGTTGCTTAGGTACTCTTCTAGGAATATTCAATTGCACATCACACACACCCACACGTCTATGTTAGTATACTATGTGCACTTTTAAATAAAATGCTCACTATAGGATGTTTTTCCACTGGTTTTTAGAGACAGTGGAAGGGAGAGGAAAAGACAGAGAAATATTGATGTCAGAGAAACACATCAATTAGTTACTTCCTACAGGAGCCAGACCAGGGCCCATCCAGGAAGAACCTGCAACTGAATTACATACCTTTGACTGAATTGAACCTTGGACTTGCAGGCTGATGCTCTATCCACTGAGCAAACAAGCTAAGGCTGCACTTTCTTTACATAATAATATATCCTGGAGATTTTCCACATCATTTTCTTTTTTGGCTGCCAGCTATTTATTGTATTGTACCATAATTTATTTTCTACTAGAGACGCAGTGCATGACATTCGTGCACTGCTATGGTCCCTAGTGGCTGCCAGCTGTTGGCAGGAGCCTCCCTCCCTTCCGCCAGCCAGTCAGGAGACAATTTGCATACTACACTTCCATTATATAGGATTCTCTTGTTGGAGGCAGTCATATGATTGCCTATATTTTGCTATTAAAAACACTATATGAGAGCCTGCATTCAACTAGAATTTCACACTAGTGTGCCTCTCAGGAAGATGTATTCCTAGAAGTGACATTGTTGGGTGTGACCATCTGTGTTCACTATTGTGGGCCGTGGGCCTACGGCAGGAGAAACTCCTGGACACTATACACCTAGGACAGACGGGCACCCAGTCTTGGCAGCAGTCACGGCGGGTCGGAGGCACAGGAGCGCGGCCTGGAGAAGAGGCAGCACGTGCTGGATGGTGGGCGAGGGCCTGGCTGGCCGGGAGAAAAGGGACGCTGAGTTCGTAAGGGCAAACACCAGAATTAGTTTCACTGTAAAACTGATTTTATCTGGATATTGGCTAAAACATGGACTGAGCTAGTTTGCTGAATGTTACCCATCAAGAGCTTGTTTCCTGGCCACGGCTCGGGCCCTGTGACTGCTACGTATGCTCTTGACAATTTTATTTATTTATTTATTTATTTATTTATTTATTTATTTATTTATTTATTTTTTATTTAAGTATTTTCTTTTTTCTTTTCTTTTTTCTTTTTTTCTTTTTTCTTTATTATTTATTTATTTATTTATTTTTTTAAATCAATCTTTATTGTTCATATTATTACAAAGGTTCCTCATTTCTTTCCCCCTCCACCAGGCTCCCACCCCACCCTCCGCCCCCTCCCCTCCCCCATTGTCCTCATCCATATGTGCAGTTTATGTTCAGTCTCTTCCTCCCTCCCTTTCCCCGATAGTAAATCCCTTTTCAGATAGTAAATCAGTTACTTAGCATTTTCTCATATCAATAATACCTCCACATGCCCAATGATACACTTCACACAAAAGACATTTCCAAATAGGTCAACCAGCCTCATCCAGGCCCCACCCAAGGCACTCACAGATCAACACCCCAGCACTATACTAACTCAACACATCCAGATCTAAGCCTTCATCACTTGATTCAGCAGACCCTCAAGTTCCCACAAAAGTTTCCAGCCATGTCTGAGAGGCAGCCGTGGGGCAGGGGCAGGTGAGGAGTGAGCTGTTCTGGGCCTGGCTGCTCTGGGCCTGGCCTCTGTTGCTCTGGTTCGTTCCACAACCAGCTGTTCTGGGTCTGGTCACTGCCTCTCCCGACCTAGTTGCTCTGGACTTGGCTGCTGCTGCTCCGGGCCTGGCCGCACCCAACCCGGCTGCTTTGGGCCCGGCTGCTCCAGGCCTGGCTGCTCCCAGCCTGGCAGCTGCTGCTCCGGGCCTGGCCGCACCAAACCCGGCTGCTCCGGGCCTGGCTGCTCCCAGCCTGGCAGCCGCTGCTCCGGGCCTGGCCGCTCCCAGCCTGGCAGCTGCTGCTCCAGGCCTGGCCGCACCCGACCTGGCTGCTCCGGGCCTGGCCGCTCCCAGCCTGGCAGCTGCTGCTCCGGGCCTGGCCGCACCAGACCCGTCTGCTCTGGGCCTGGCTGCTCCCAGCCTGCCAGCCGCTGCTCCGGGCCTGGCCGCTCCCAGCCTGGCAGCTGCTGCTCCAGGCCTGGCCGCACCTGACCCGGCTGTTCCACGCCTGGCCGCTCTCAGCCTGGCAGCCACTGCTCCGGGCCTGGCTGCTCCCAGCCTGGCAGCTGCTGCTCTGGGCCTGGCCGCACCCAACCCGGCTGCTCTGGGCCCGGCTGCCCCGGGCCCGGCCGCTCTGACTCTGGCTTCTCCCGGCCTGGATGCTCCGGGCTTGGCTACTGCTGTTCTGGACCTGGCTGCTCCCAACCCGGCTTCTCCGGGCCCGGCCACTCCAGGTCTGGGTGTTCCTGGACTGGCCACCCTGGGCTTGGCCGCCTCCGCCTCAGGCCTGGCTGCCACTGCCCCAGGTCTGGCTGCTCCAGTGCTAGCTGTTGCTGCTCTGGTTCTGGCTGCTGCTGCTCTGGGGCCTGGCCGTTGCTGCTTTGTGCCTGGCCACTCTAGGCCTGGCCGCCGCTGTTCCAACATTCTGTCCTTTTTTTTTTTTTTTTTTTTTTTTAAATGCATTTATGTTGCAATGTTGGCTGGTGAGTTGAGTTCTGACTTAGTCTTTGATTTTTCAAGATCTTCTTTGTATTCTTTCTTAAGTAATTTTACTATCTTTTGCTCTCACTTGATTTCTTCACATTGAGAACTTCTTTGGTTTCTTCCTCCTTGTCCTGGGAGCTCAGCAGGTTGGCCTGTGGCACCCCTTTGTTCTCCGTGGGCTCCTGCACTGCTTCAGCCTGTTGCCGGGGTCAGCGCTGCCCAGGAAGCAGCCCCCAGCCTTGGCTCCGTTGCCCGCGCTCAGCGGTCGAAGGCTCAGGGGCACCCCCCCACCTTGGGGCCCCGTCGCCCGGCTCCTTGCTGGTGCCTGGCTGGTTGGTGTCTGGCAGGGGCTCCTGCTCCTCGTCTCGTTCCTCCAGTCTGGAGCTTTTTTTCTCCTTCCCGCTAGGGGAGTCTAGGATCAGAGTCAACAGACTGTCCTCTGCCCGCAGTGTGTGCGACTCTGGGGGCTCCGCTTTTCGCCGCTCCCCTGGGATTCCGCCTCACAGCCCCGTCTTCCCCTGCCTGAGCCTGGGTCCCCAGGGTCTGGCCTAGGACTGGGGTTCAGAGCAGTTGAAACTGGGGCCCAACAGGGCTGGGGCTCCTGTTTCCTTCCCTCCAGGGCAATCCTGCATCAGAGTCAACATTCCTTCCCTTGCAAGCAATGTGCGCGACTCCGGGGGCTAGGCCTTTCTCCGCTCTCCCAGGACTCCACCTCACAGCCCCATCTCCCTCTGCTTGAGCTTGGGTCCCCAGGGATTGGCCTAGAACTGGGGTTCAGAGCAGTCCAGACTGAGGCTCAGCGCAGCTGGAGGCTTTGTTTCTTCCGGCTAGGGTAATCCAGCATCAGAGTCAACATTCAGTCCTCTGTGCACAATGTGCACGCGACTCCGGGGGTCCCGCCTTTCGCCGCTCCCCTGGGATTCTGCCTCACAGCCCCGTCTCCCCCTGCCGGAGCCTGGGTCCCCAGGGTCTGGCCCATAACTGGGGCTCAGTGCTGCTGGTTCGGGGGTTCAGCCCAGGCTGGGGGTTCTATTTCCTTCCTGCTAGGGAACGCCAGGCAGCACCCAGCCTCCTCCTCCTCTCCAGCTGCAACCTCTCTGCCTGTGCGTGTGTGCGGGCGCACAGCATGTTTCCGTACCTTAGGCTTTTTTTTAGCTCCTCTGATTTTCCTTCTGGTTTTCGCTTTCCTTCTTGTAGAATTTTCAGTCAGTCGACTGCCTGCAGCTCTGAGCGATGTCCACTCTACATTTTAGTTGTATTCCATTGAAATTGTTGTGTGCTGCTGTGGTTAGATGTCTACCTGAGCAGCCATCTTGGATCCTCTCTCTCTGATTTAATATTCCGCTCTTGACAATTTTAAAGCCATGTTTCATTCAGAAAAGATAGACTGGTCTTAAGCTAGAAGTAAAGAAAAGGGTGTCTCTGCATACAGACCACCAGGATCACTATTTAGCTGCTTCCATTGCAGTTCTCAGAAATGGCCCCAAGAGGGCACTAGAAACAGATTCTTCCAGGTTTAAAGGCCACGGTGCTCCAGCTGAAGCCACACCCATGTCTTGCCCGAGCTTCCTGGCCTCTTCCTAAGCTTCTGAAGCGCCAATTAGTAATTCTTAGCAGAGCTGGATGGCAGCAAAGAAGCCAGAAATGGGAAAGGAACAGACTGGAAGCGAGCCAGGAAATAAATCATGCAAAGGAGGAGAGCAATGCCACCAGCGCATCTGAGGGGGCTGCCCATGCAAGCGGCCAGCTGGAGCCACAGCTCCTGCCGCTCCCGGGTGCAGGGAGCTGTGCCCACAGACCCTGTCCACTCCCTGACCAGGGGCTGTGCCCACAGACCCTGTCCACTCCCTGACCGGGGGCTGTGCCCACAGACCCTGTCCACTCCCTGACTGGGGGCTGTGCCCACAGACCCTGTCCACTCCCTGACCAGGGGCTGTGCCCACAGACCCTGTCCACTCCCTGACCGGGGGCTGTGCCCACAGACCCTGTCCACTCCCTGACCGGGGGCTGTGCCCACAGACACTAGACACTGTCCACTCCCTGACCGGGGGCTGTGCCCACAGACACCGTCCACTCCCTGACCGGGGGCTGTGCCCACAGACCCTGTCCACTCCCTGACCGGGGGCTGTGCCCACAAACCCTGTCCACTCCCTGACCGGGGGCTGTGCCCACAGACACTGTCCACTCCCTGACCGGGGGCTGTGCCCACAAACCCTGTCCACTCCCTGACCGGGGGCTGTGCCCACAGACACTAGACACTGTCCACTCCCTGACCGGGGGCTGTGCCCACAGACCCTGTCCACTCCCTGACCGGGGGCTGTGCCCACAGACCCTGTCCACTCCCTGACTGGGGGCTGTGCCCACAGACACCGTCCACTCCCTGACTGGGGGCTGTGCCCACAGACACCGTCCACTCCCTGACTGGGGGCTGTGCCCACAGACCCTGTCCACTCCCTGACCGGGGGCTGTGCCCACAGACCCTGTCCACTCCCTGACCGGGGGCTGTGCCCATAGACACTGTCCACTCCCTGACCGGGGGCTGTGCCCACAGACACCGTCCACTCCCTGACCGGGGGCTGTGCCCACAGACCCTGTCCACTCCCTGACCGGGGGCTGTGCCCACAGACACCGTCCACTCCCTGACCGGGGGCTGTGCCCACAGACACTGTCCACTCCCTGACCGGGGGCTGTGCCCACAGACACTGTCCACTCCCTGACCGGGGGCTGTGCCCACAGACACTAGACACTCCCTGACTGGGGCTGTGCCCACAGACACTGTCCACTCCCTGACGGGGGGCTGTGCCCACAGACCCTGTCCACTCCCTGACCGGGGGCTGTGCCCACAGACACTGTCCACTCCCTGACCGGGGGCTGTGCCCACAGACCCTGTCCACTCCCTGACCGGGGGCTGTGCCCACAGACACTGTCCACTCCCTGACCGGGGCTGTGCCCACAGACCCTGTCCACTCCCTGACAGAGGGCTGTGCCCACAGACACCGTCCACTCCCTGACCGGGGCTGTGCCCACAGACCCTGTCCACTCCCTGACAGAGGGCTGTGCCCACAGACACTGTCCACTCCCTGATTGGGGGCTGTGCCCACAGACACTAGACACTGTCCACTCCCTGACCGGGGGCTGTGCCCACAGACCCTGTCCACTCCCTGACCGAGGGCTGTGCCCACAGACACTTTCCTGCTCCCCTGAGCAGACAGCAGTGCCGGCGCGGGAGGCCCGGGACTTGGGGGTCTGCCCAGCAACAGGCCGATTCTCAGGCGCATGGAGTCTCCGTTCAGTCCACGTGGAGTGAGGTTGTAATGACTGGATCTGACATATGAAAAAGGTTTTAAAAAGTAGTGCATTAAAGTGTATTTTAGCATTAGTTTATCTAGAATCTCTATGCATTTGTGGTGGAAGGGGTTTGTGGTAGCTTTTTTCACCATTTTCCCAGAACCAGAACTTCCTGCTTCTATTTTCCTAAGGAGAGAAATGCATAAAGTGCTTGGGAGGGAATTTTCAGTGCCCAGGCTTCGTGCCTTGTCTCTTACTCCCTGGAAGGCGCATCACCCAGGACACTCTCAGTTTCTCACAGGGAGGGGCGTCGGGGTCAGGGCCGTCCCGGCTCCCCTCCCGGGTGTCCTATCTGCGGTGGGCAGCCCTCAGAGGCCTGTGCTCCGCTGCAGCCCTGCCGTGGCCACTCCGCCCGAACCCCAGATGGCAGGTCCCGGTTCCTCTACCCGTCGTGGCGATGGCCGGGGAGTGTTTGTGGGAACCTTCCCGTTTGTACAGCTCCTGCGGGGGAGCTCACACACTGCTCCCAGGGGGATCCCGGTTCCCACGGAGGTTCGGCCTGTGGGTTTCTCAGCCACAGCAGCACAGACAGCAGACACACCCTGGACTCCTAACCCCCATCACTCCCTGTTCCCACCACCGGTCACTCCCTGTTCCCACCACTGATCACCAACTGTTCCCACCACCAGTCACTCCCTGTTCCCACCACCGATCACCAACTGTTCCCACCACCGGTCACTCCCTGTTCCCACCAGCGATCACTTTCTGTTCGCACCACTGATCATTCACTGTTCCCACCACCGATCACCAACTGTTCCCACCACAGGTCACTCCCTGTTCCCACCACCGAGCTCTCCCTGTTCCCACCACTGGTCACTCCCTGTTCCCACCACCGATCACCAGCTATTTCCACCACCGATCACTCCCTGTTCCCACCACCTACCACTCCCTGTTCCCACCACCAGTCACTCCCTGTTCCCACCACCGATCACCAACTGTGCCCACCACTGGTCACTCCCTGTTCCCACCACCAGTCACTCCCTGTTCCCACCACCGATCACCAACTGTTCCCACCACCAGTCACTCCCTGTTCCCACCACCGAGCTCTCCCTGTTCCCACCACCGATCACTCCCTGTTCCCACCACTGATCACCAGCTATTTCCACCACCGATCACTCCCTGTTCTCACCACCAGTCATTCCCTGTTCCCACCACAGGTCACTCCCGGTTCCCACCACCGATCACCAACTGTGCCCACCACCGGTCACTCCCTGTTCCCACCACAGGTCACTCCCTGTTCCCACCACCGATCACCAACTGTTCCCACCACCAGTCACTCCCTGTTTCCATCATCGATCACCAACTATTCCCACCACCGGTCACTCCCTGTTCCCATCACCAGTCACTCCCTGTTCCCACCACCGATCACCAACTGTTCTCACCACCGATTACCAACTGTTCCTACCACTGGTCACTCCCTGTTCCCACCACCGGTCAC